CCCGCCCGGCTCCCATTAGGCCGTCATCCGTCACCATCGGCCGGAGGCGGGCCGCAGCCAGCCGAGCGGATCCGGCGCCGCCACACAGGGCAGGAAGGGCCCCGCAGGGCTCACCAACTCGCTGACGACACGGCAGACGTCTGACGTCACAGGCGGGCGGCGACGGCCTAGCGCCGTCCGAGCCGAGCGGACGCCGCTCCGTGGCGTCATCACGCTGCGATCGTTGCCCGCCCGGTGCAGTGACCGCGGGGCGGCCGCCACTCTGCCCTCAGAAGACGGCTGTCTTTCCAACCTCCGGCGGATCAGCCCGGTGGGTCCGCGCCCCCCCCCCCCCCCCCCTCTCCGAGACAACGGCAGCGTTACGCCGCCGTCGGTCGACGTAAAGACGGCCGGATTCGCGGCGCCCGAGCAGCAGCGCTGGTAAACACGGTTGGGCCGGCCGCCGGCTACGGTCATTCGCTGTCCCGCCGGCCTGACCGGGCCGGACGCGACCCGATCCGACCCGGCGAGGGCGGCGGTGGCCGGAGCCGCGCACAGCGGGCCCGTCCCATCCATCGCCGTCGGCCGCCGAACGGCAGAAAAACCGGCCCTCGGGGCCGCCAGTTTGCGACGGCCGCCGGCTACGGGGCGCAATTTGTCCGGCGGGCGATCGCGGCGGCCGAGACGCATTGGGACCGGGAGGCCGTCCCGCAGGACGGGTACCGCAGACACCGACACCAGGCCAGCGAGCGCCACCAGCACCGGAGCAGCGGGTGACACCAGCACCAGACCAGCGGGTGATACCAGCACTGGATCAGCGGGTGACAGACGGGTGATGCCAGCACCAGGCCAGCGAGCGACACCAACATCAGACCAGCGGGTGACACCAGCACGAGATCAGCGGGTGATAAACGGGTGATGTCGGCACCAGGCCAGCGGGCGACACCAACATCAGACCAGCGGGTGACACCAGCACCAGACCAGCAGGCAGGCGCGTGCGGCCGACACGCGAGAGGCAAGCATGCAACCCAGGCATGAGCCAGCGCCAGCGCCAGCGGTAGCGGCAGCGTGCAGGCACCGCACCCCGAACGGAAAGTAAACACACTTACTGGCAACTTTCAGAGCACGCGCTAGCCTCTAGCTACTGAAAGGAGAAAACGCCGCGTTAGAAAACTCGGCACACGACTGACACACAGGCGCGGCGACGCGACGCGACGCGGCGCGGCGACAGGTCGAAAGCGGAGCCAGACACGTCACGACTTTACGGCAACGAGACGCGGCCGGCGCGCCGGTAACTGGTGGGCGCGCAGCGCCCAGGGCGGCATGCTGGCCCCGGGGCGGGACACGTGGCGGCGGTGCGACGCACCCATGCTGAGAGCGGGGCGGTCACTCACGCTGGGCGTCAGTTGCGGCCGCGCCGGAGACATGGTGGCCACCGACGACTGGTGGATGAGCCGCTGTCGGACAGGAGAGGGGCCGTCACCGTCCGCGCGCGCGGACCGCTCCCGCCGGCCGGCGCCAGTGCGGCACACTACGGCACGCTATCTACGCTGTGCGCTACCTACGCTCTACGGGCGTCTACACGACGCCACATAACTGGCGGGGTGGCGGATGAACGGCACGTGCGAGGGGTATGGGGAGCGACTTTGGGGATGGGCGCGACGTAAATAGACGATATACACGTATCGGTCCGATAAATCTCCGACGGAAGAGTGCTGAATTGTGCCGATGATGATGGATCGCCACAGCACGCTTGGCTGAAATTGGATACGTCGCCGGGCGGTGGAGGCGGCCCAAAGAAGGGCGAGCTCCAGCGATCCATCACGGCTGCCTTTTCGCCATTCATCGCAATCGAACGCAGCCGGGAAGCACGCGATCCAGTTCTAATATACAACAAAGGCCAGGCCGGGTGAGCACACCGCTGAGCGGGGTCGGCAGGTCGCGGCTTTTTAAGCAGCCCATAGAAGCCAGCGATTCCTCATAAGGTTGTAAACCGCGAACAGCACGCAAGGCACAAACAGATCACCGCACCATGCCACTGGCCATCGCCATAACTCAGCCTTGTTTCTGGATGACCTGCCAACGAACTCTTTCATGCGCCTTGTGTGACGAGGGGTTTCCGACGACACGCGTAAATATCAACACTTTCATTGCCGGCGAAGACTGGTTCAAAACACAAGTCACAATTACACAGCTGAAAAGCACAAACACAAAGTGACAAGATATAGCAAATGTCCAACGAAATTAAAGCTGCGCGAAGCGTTCCAGCGACCGCGAGGTCCACGCACGGCAAAAAATTCCTGATTCTCGACGTTTTCACAAGCGCCAAGTCTGCCAGGCATCTCGTCACCTTTCACGCGCACTGAAGGCTTCTTCACGAACAACGTAAGCTATGCATCAACGGCTGCAGTACGAGACACTTCCTAACACGACGGGCCTGTAGATGCCTAAAGCACTCGCCTGACGTCCTTCGATGCATCGCTCACCCGGTCAACGAACCTGAAAGAGGCTGCGGACGGAACAAATATTGGCTTTTATGCGTCTCACAAACGACGTACGCTGGCCTGCGGGGACAGCCGAGCAGAATCCGCATCCGCGCCAGACCCTCCCCAAGGACCGGCTGTATTCGCGGCGTCGCTCCAATTGAATAGCACGCAGTCCGTCGGCCGACATCACGCATTCGGCGTGCGTCCGCCAAGCGCTCCGTCCCGGCCGCCGACGACGGTTACGGCGGCCCGGGCCCGGACCCAGCCCCAGCCTGCTAATCCAGCCGCGCGGAGCGGGGCCAGCCGGCCGGCCGGCCCACTGGCGGGTTCGGCACGGCGCCGTCCGTCCGCGGCGCCTCCGGCTCCCCTGGTCGTTGGCGCCTGCCGTGTGACGCCCCACCGGCTGCGTTGGGCCCCCGCCGGCCCGGCAAGGGGCCGACGGCCGGCGTCCGACCGTCGCCGCGTGATCGACTGGCAGACCGGGCCGCAGTGACGCCGCATTTGCATAGTTTCAATGCATATGGGGCGGCGGCGCGGCGGGAAGCCAGTCGGCCGCGCCGAGTCGGACCACGCTGTCGGGGCGGGGCGAGGCGGGGCGGGGCGGGGGCGGGGGCGGGACACCGGCACGAAGGCCAGCACCGAGCCCCGCTCCGGCGCCGGTGGCTCGACCCCTTCCCGGGACCGGTGGGCGGTGCAGTCTATTTCAGGGCGGCCTGGCATGACTCCCAGCAATGCTCTCGTATGTTCAGGAAACCTGACCAGCTAACTCTGCATTCAGTTCTAGTCTGTTAGGCGACTGCAGCGTCCTCCGGAATATGCAGGGAGCAAACGAACTTAAAGTAACGTCTGGACAAACCAAACAAGACTTGCTCAAATTAATGGTAAGAGGTTAAGAATAGCTGGGACAACAAGCCAGCCAAACGCACCCGGTGCTTTTTTCACAACAGACGGCGACTACCGCGGTAGTAGCGACTCGACTGCCTCACTTAAGCCACAAGCCAATCCCTCGGCACGAACCAGACAACCGCCATAGGTCACGGAGCGCAGGCACATACCGTCGAGTGCTGCTCCCCATTACACGAACATACGAGGGCCTTTTTTAATCCGAGCCCGGTTTGAGCCCGGCAATCGACCTTCGGCTCCGGCCCGCTGTAAACCCAACGGACGACCGCCCGTCCAGCTGTAACGCTATGCGAAGAAACGGCTGACTCAGACATCACGGAGGCGGGTAGGGGACTGACCCGGAACGGTGCACCGAAGGTGGAGACTGACCCGGAGCGGTGGACTAGAGATGAAGATTCACTTGGAGCGGTGCACCAGAGGTGGAGACTGACCAGGACCAGGACTAGAGGTGGAAACCGACCTAGAGCGGTGGACTAGAGATGGAGAATGTCCTCTAGTCCACTCGGGTGGTGGACTAGAGGTGGAGACTGACCTGGAGCGGTAGACTAGAGGTGGAGGCTGACCTGGAGCGGTAGACTAGAGGTGGAGACTGACCTGGAGCGGTGGACTAGGGGTGGAGATTGACCCGGAGCGGTGGACTAGTGGAGACTGGCCTGGGGCGTGGAACTAGAGGTGGAGACTGACCTGGAGCGGTGCCCTGAAGGTGGAGACCAGCCTGGAGCGGGGCACCGAAGACCAAGACTAGCCTGCTGCTACTCTGGAGGCCGACACTTACCCGCAGGTTGGAAGATGAGGCCATGCGCAGCTCGGCCATGGGCCCGGATGGCGTGCCGCCCTGGAACGGACTGATCACGGTGGAGACGGCGCGCCTTAACTTGTTGGGCGTCTGCTTGAAGCTGAACGCGCGGCCCACCTTGCGCGACGTCTTGGAGGCGAACCTGACACACGCGGACACACGTGACAGTCGGGCGCCGCACAGGCGCGCGCACATGCCGGCCGCGGGCCGCACAGACCGCACACCAGAGGACGGCGGCCACGCGGCGCCGGAGAAAACAGAGCGACACGGGGGGGGGGGGGGGGGGGGCACCGAGCCACCTAGAAGATGGCTGGAGGGCGGGGGGGGGGGGTCTCGCACCGGGCCCACCTCCGCCCCTGTGACGTACAGCCAACGCCCCGGAATCTGACGAGCGCTGCCGGCCCCCACCCTGGCGTGCACGGGAGGGGGGGGGGGGGGCACCGAGCCGCCTAGAAGATGGCTGGAGGGCGGGGGGGGGGGGATCTCGCACCGGGCCCAGCTCCGCCCCACCAGCTGTGACGTACAGCCAACGCCCCGGAACCTGACGGGCGCTACCGGCCCCCACCCTGGCGTGCACGGAAAAAGGCACCAGTCATTTCAACGCCAACCCGTACGTGTTCTGATGCAAGAATTCCGTGCGGGCAGGTGTGAGTCAATAGATTGCCCCCTCCCCTCCCCAAATATGAAGGCTTCCATTTCATTTTCCCTGGCACGAACAGAGCATTTCGGTGCATCAGTTTCCAGCCCCACAATATTGTGCAAAAACTGATCTTTTGCCAACTTCGCGCTTTCTTTTCGATCGTCGCGCTACGGACTACAGCGTTACCAGAATGCTGTACCACTGTCCCACATTCGCCTCGCATATGACAACGCTTAAGCCAAAACCCCACGGAGATAGTATGTTCACTCCGAAGAGAAAACTCACTAAGCTCCAGAGAGAACTCAGGCAAAAATACAAATATGATGAACAAGGAAAGCCTGCTTCAACCATCTATATATCTTGCTCGAACGCCATTTTCGGCAGGTCCAATCTGTTCAGACGACTACCCCGAGCGACCACTGCTCTCGCCCGTCCGACACGACCCATGGGGGCGCTAGTAAGCGGGGCACATTGGCGTCGGGGAAATGCCAGCGTGATTTAGCGCGCGGGCCGTCGGCCACTTGAGACCCCTTGTTGAGCGGGCGACGCCGCTCGTCTCGCACCGCAGGCGCCGGGTCACCGACCCGCGCTGCCCCGGAGACGGCAGCGGAGGCGTCCCGCAGACCTCTGGACCAGCGTCAGCGCCGGAGACTCACGCTCGACGCTGCCGGGGTCGAGGGCAGGTCTGGGTCCGTCACGACCTGACAACAGCCAGGGCCGATGGCCGGCCCGCCACTGACCGGTCTGGGTCCGTCACAGCCTGACAGCAGCCGGGGCCGATGGCCGGCCCGCCACTGGCCGGTCTGGGTCCGTCACAGCCTGACAACAGCCGGGGCCGATGGCCGGCCCGCCACTGACCGGTCTGGGTCCGTCACAGCCTGACAGCAGCCGGGGCTGGTGGCCGGCCCGCCACTGACCGGTCCGGGTCCGTCACGACCTGACAACAGCCGGGGTCGAGGGCCGGCCCGCCACTGACCGATCTCGGTCCGTCACAGCCTGACAGCAGCCGGGGAGAAGGCGGCTCCCGCTTCGGTCACCGACACGACACGGCGACGCGAGCCGGCTACTCGAGCCGCCGCGAGCACTCGCCGCTCGACTCGGACCACCGTTCATCTGAACGGCTCCTCCTGGAGGCTTTAACGGCGTGGGAATCGACTTTGGCGGCGGCCCCGGTATCGGATGGCGGCCTCTTCCGACGGGCGCCGAGCGGACGTTATTGCCGTCCGACCATTTGGGGCGATGGCCAAGTCCGTTACTGGAGCTCGCTCCATGCCTGTGATGTAAAACTAAAGGCACAGCACGCTCAGGGAGCTGAGCACCACAAGGGGTCATCGGCTGATGGCATCGGCATCCTCTCTCCTAAAAGACGGTCATGACTGCACATCAGCATGCATCCTACAGGATAAAGATATTGTCTTATACTCAAGGCACACGTGACAACAAAGTCGGACCATGCAGACACCAAAACACTCCGCCGCCAGGCATTTTCTACACATTCTAAAGAAGGAATGTTTTCATGGAGGCGCCCTCATACACACTTGCGTGACCCGACCCGACCCTGCCGGCAGGCTGGACCGCACCAAGATGGCTGCCCATCTGGCTGCGCCGGGATCGCCGCGGCCGGCAGCCGGGCGACGAGCGGACCGCCTAATCCTATTGGAGAGTCCGCAACGTGCCGGCGACGGCGCGGCTGGCACGGCTCGGCAAACAGGCGCGGACCGGCTCACGGACGCTACAGCGGTCACCGGGGCGGCCGCAGACGAGCCAGGTCACGACCGGACCGGACCGAGAGGTCACACATCACAGGCGGCCGGCGGCACTGGTCTGTATAAGGCAGCTGTGGATCGGACAGCGACCGAGGACAGCCGTGGACCGCGCAGTGACTGAGGACGGGCGTGGATCGGACAGTGACCGAGAACAGCCGTGGACCGGACAGTGACCGAGGAGAGGCGTGGACCGGACAGTGACTGAGGGCAGTCGTGGACCGCGCGGTGACTGGGGACGGGCGTGGACCGGACAGTGACCGAGAACAGCCGTGGACCGGACAGTGACCCGAGGGGAGGCGTGGACCGGACAGTGACCGAGAACAGCCGTGGACCGGACAGTGACCAAGGAGAGGCGTGGACCGGACAGTGACCGAGGACAGCCGTGGACCGAAAAGTGGCCGAGCACAGCCGACAGCCGTGGACCGGACGGTGACCGAGGACAGTCGTGGACCTGACAGTGACCGTGGACCGAACGGTGACCGAGGACAGCCGTGGACCGGACGGTGACCGAGGACAGCCGCGGACCAGACAGTGGTCGCGGCCGGCCGGCGCCGCTCGCGTCAGCCGACGCTTGGCCGCGCCACGGCGGCCGTGGGTGACGCGTCTCGGCCCGCACCGACGGGTAATGGGAGAGCCCCGATTGAATTAGGGCGGGCCGCGACACGCCGACGGCAGCGCCACCGCCTGATCAAAGCCGGGCGCTGCCCGCCGCCGGCGACGGCACTCGGCGGCCGGCGGCGCCGCGCACCAAACTCGATACGGCTCGGATTCGCCGCCGCCGCCACCGAAAAACTTGGCTCGCCCCAGAGCCACTGGCGGTTTGCATACAAAGCGGAAATTCGGAGGTAGCTGTAAGCGTGTTCTGACTACGGGCTGATGATGTCTCAATACAGCTCGCGGCTATCTGGGCTCAAAGGTTGGCACTGTTTAAAAAGGGTACGAAAATTCCGAGCACAAAGCAGCCATGGTCGCCCTCAGACATGTGCCCATGCTAACATCAGTGATGGATCACTGGGGTTTTAGGGCATCTCGACCACTACGGTCATGCAGCGCCTTCAACAAATTTGTCATTCCCATTTATTCACAGACCGTGGTCCACATGCGAATCGTACAGACAGTGTGACGCAGCAGGGATAAGATTTGAGAACACGACGGCCTGGCAGTGTGGCGCCACATTGAAAGCATAATGGCCCCTCTTCCCCGCAGGGCACCGCATCTGTGGCCTGTACACAGGCAACAAACATGACCTTCTCAGGCCGCGCCTGGTCGTGAGGATGACGGCCACTTCTCCAGACGGGGCTGCGCAGCCTTCATTTTGTCGAAGCACTATCTCATGCCGCGGACAATTTGCCCGCAAAAGAGCGGCAATAGATGGATATAGATGGTTTCCGTGGGGGGGGAGGTTAACCGTGGGCACATGAAACCCACAGAGATCAGCTTGTGGCGGCATCCGCCAGCTCGTTTCCATGGTAACCAAACATGACAGTGCAACGCGGCGGGCGACAGCCCGCTCCCGCCGACTCGGTGCCATGAGGCGCGATACAAACATTTCAGGCGGGATAGGACCGGATGGATGACGAGATGATGGTGATAATTTGTAGTCCTAGGGCACGTCGACGACAACTGCTCATGCAGCGGCCACAGGTTCCAAATTACCAGGCAAAGTCCCAATTCAAACGAATTTTTTACAAATACAAACACCGTCAACGTAAGCGACTGTGAGTCAGCATGGCAGTGGAGAGAACATCACGGTGAAACCTACGGCAGGTAGATTGAAACAGCTTTCCAGTTCCGACAGCTGGAGAGTCAGTATTTAAAATGTCGGGCAGTGTACGATCTGAGGCATTCCGTTCAAAGAACCGCACTGGCGCTCCAACTAGGCTACGACAGGCGATCAACACATAGTGCTTAGTTCGAGGGTCCCGGACTTGAGCACCAAGCGTGCTCAGAGTATGGCAAGATCAGGTGTGGGCTTTCGCCCCCCCCCCCCCCCATCCCAATAATACAAAGCGCTTGCTGATGACCACGAGCTCCGCACCACGCGCGGACGCGCACGAGACGACGGCATGAATGACGCGTCACGGGACCGCACTCAAATGCGATGCCAAAACCCGCGTCTGTCCCCGACCCGTCCATACTGTGGTGACTTAGCCACCCCCCTCCCCCCTCCCCACGAGCTGCTGTGCTCAGGGGCCCTGGACGGCGCGTCGCGTTTGAGTCGGAGCCGCTCTCAGATCTTTGTCACATCCGGTCAAACCAGCTCCTAGGCGGGAATCTCTGGCTGACTTAGCTGTTCGACAGAGCGGAATTCAAATAGCCCCTTTCAACAACTCTCTTACTCGCATGCAAAATGGGACAGCCCGTAGGACCCGTTATCCATGATAACATCAACTTGAGAAAAACAAAACGGTGTTGGACCCGGAACTCGACTTCAAAGATGACCTCTCAGCGATTAACTGATGAAAGAGAGCGCGGGAGTTAAACGCTGCCAAGTGCCAACGTTTGGTGCTTGCCAACGAAGCAAGCCGCGTCAGGTGCAGCGCTCGGCCAGACGCCACAAGGGGCCGGCCGTCGGGCCCCGGCGTCGGCCACCACCGGCGTTGGCGTGGCGGGACTGCCCATGACGGCCCGCCAGCCAGGGCGTGCCGGCCGTCCGGCCCCGGCGTCGACCGCCACCGCCGCCGCCGCCACCGGCGTTGGCGTGGCGAGACTGCCCGTGACGGCCCGCCAGCCAGGGCGTGCCGGCCGGTCGCAGACTCACTTGGAGACGCGGCTGAGTGTGCTGTGCGCGGCCACCTCGCTGCTCTCGATGTCCAGATGCTGCGGGTCCAGTACGGTCAGGAAGTTCTCCTGGGGCGAACGGCACGGCCGGGCGGTGAGCAGACAGACCAAGACAACGGCCGAGACAGCGAGGTAGGTCCGCTCGGGACGCGCGACCAATCGCTGCGTCTCGCGAACAACTGAGCCCCCAAGTGGCCGTCAGGGACGGCGGGCAGGCAGACGCCCACCCAGTGCCTCGAGATCTGAGACACTCTGACAGCGTACCAGTAAAAAAAAAACACAAAAAAACACAAAAAGCAAAAACAAAAGAAAATGAAACAAAAAACAAAACAAAAAATGAACAAGCAAGACACAAAAAGGACCAACGAAAAACACGCTACTGTACCGAGCACCAACACAACAGCACGAGGAGACAAACCATGAAAAGGAACGACAACCATTTTTCCTTCGCAACATCCCCGAGCCAATCATGCCTTCACGGTCTCCGCGACAGTGGCGACAGCCGTGCATTTGGCCGGCCCGTCCGGCGACCTCACTCACGGCGTCAGCGCGGCACGTGGCATGCGCCATCTGTCTACAGAGCGTGCGCAGGAACTGCTCCTTCGGCACGTCCTCCGAGCTGATGGTGAACGTGTAGTGGCGCTCCTTCAGCTCGTGGTTGCTCCGGCAGATCAGCGTGAAAACGTTGTGGCACTCTGCGGACGGAGAGGCGCCGGCTCAGCACGCCCGCCGCCTGCCGTGAAGTCGTGACGGCCGTGGCTCCGCGTCACCGTGTCGCCACGCTGCGCATGAGGCCCGCCAGACGGCTGCCGTGGCGTCGTGACGGCCGTGGCTCCGCGTCACCGTGTCGTCACGCTGCGCATGAGGCCCGCCAGACGGCTGACGTGGCGTCGTGACGGCCGTGGCTCCGCGTCACCGTGTCGTCACGCTGCGCATGAGGCCCGCCAGACGGCTGACGTGGACGCAAACACAACCGCATCGTGATGTGGCGGTGGAAAGTTTCCCGGCTTCGTGGCGAAGTTAGGTTATATTCACCCGATCTCTCCTCCAGACAACAGGATCTACAAAATAGATATGAAGCGCTTGGAACAGCCGACAAAATCCTGTCGGCTATGTTGCGCATTTGGTTGGAGTGGGGCGCACGCATTTACTGGTCTGAAAATGGCTGTCAAATAGATGATTGTTCATATTTAGCGTGCCGGCCAAGACACAAAGGGACCACAGGGACCACAACACGTGGCCCGTTCACTGGGAGAAACAGGTCAAGGACAGCCGAATTCTTTTTAAACGTCGCACACGACTGACAATTCATGACCACAATGGCATGGATAGAAATGACTGGGGATCAACGACGAAGCCAACCTGTAAGATGATTTAGCGTCGGTTTGGCATCTCTCTCACGTCGATTAACGCCAGGGGGACGGCACGGAACATTTGACAGCGGGCTGGGCTCGAAACCATCACTTTCTGCATGCGCACCTGAGGCGATCTGACTCCCAACTGAGCCGCTTCATACCCCACAATACGGCATTTGGGACGGCTGGTCGCACTGGCAGACGTCCCCGGTAGTACTTGGGTAAAATATATGCTTTCAACGGTTCCATGACAAGATATAAAAAAACTAAAGCATGAAAGGTAAAATGCAAGAAGTCGAAAACCAAAAAAGGCAAAACAAATCATAAAAGCACAGTGCATAAAGGCGAAGAGCAAAGGGTCCTGAGAAATAAAAGTATGCCGTAAGGACCCTTGATCAGTTAGTTGCTCGTCCACGACGGCGATGGCTAAGCGAGGGTGAAGCCACCGCCTCTGTGTCGTCAGTGGGGCCCAGCCAACTGGCAGCCTTGTGAATGTGCAGAGAGGGGGGGAGGGGGCAAATAACGAAAAACACGGCATAGCTGCTGCTAGCCTGCACGAGGCATTCAGATTACATAACTGCTTGTTGCTCCGGAAAAAAGGCATGCCAGTTCGGTAACCATCAGTCTGAGATCCACCTCGAGTGGGCCCGGTTCAAGCATCTGTGCTTGAGCGCATCAGAGCGCAGATCAAAAATGACCACATGCAGCTACATATCTTACCGAAGATGGAAAATCACCACCTCCGGTGTAAATCAGAGCCCTAATCCAGAGATGGGCTTCTATTGATTCCATCCAGGACCTCCTGACCTGGAGTAGGGCTTTCTGGAGCAGGTCAGGTGATAACGGGGTGATGATGATGATTTGGGGTTTTAGAGCGCATCGACTGCTGTAGGTCATGCAGCGCCCATAACTATCAATTTACGCAGAGCCGCCAATCCGGCAAGAGCATCAATCAAGTCAAGCTATAAAACTCTGATGATCAGGCCTACTAAAATGATGAAAAGATTACTGGGAAATCAATAGCGCGAAGAAACTGGAGCACATTACCAAACTCAACAGCGTGCGAAGAATTCCCTAAAGTCACTAAACGTGCGACTCTGGGCGTAGTGTCCGAAAAACTGCGCTCTCGTTGCAGTAAGGACACGGCAAACGACCAGTACGTGGCACGGTTGGCGGGTCAGAGCATCGACTACAGCATGGTCTGTCGCCAGCCAATGGCAGGTGACGGTGCGTAGCATACGTGTGCCCTATGGGTAACAGGCAAATAACAAGTTCTTCCCTCCGATTGTCCCGAAAACACGACTGCCATAGATCAATACGGGGTTTCAAGGACTGCAGCTTGTTGGCGCTCAGCGAGTTCCAGTGGAACTGCCATCGCTTCTGCATAAACGACGACACTGCGGGGTACATGTCTTGAGCTGGTAGTGGTGTTATAGGAATGCGTGTCCCTGTCGTAGCGCGCTTTGCTGCCGCGTCAGCAAGATCATTTCCGCAGATCCCCACGTGACTTGGGATCCAGCATAGTATGATCGTTTTCCCTGCTCAATCCAATGAGCTAAGACGCAATTGAATGTCCTGGACCAATGAATTCCACGAGGAAAAGCCGCCAACAGCCAGGAGCCTGCTCAAGGAGTCGGAAAGAATCAAATGCAAATTGCTATCGTCCACTTCAATAAAACAGAGAGCTTTGCTGATGGCTATAAGCTCGGAGGTGAAGACCGGCGCGTGTGAAGGCAGTGTGAATGACGGTGTTGCGGATCCATACACAAAAGCGCACCCTACACCTGCGTCCGTCTTTGAACCATCCGTATAAGTCGTCATGTACCCGTCAAAAGATGCTATGTGTTCTGAGGCTGCCCCTTTAAGTTTCGTCATGAGGATGCGTTGCTTTTGCATGTTTGATAGAGAAACATCCACGCTTGGCGATGCTAGCTCCAAAGGAGCAGCCTTCATGGGTTTAGGTCTGATGACATGTCGTAGGTTGAGGCCGCTCGCGTCTAAAAGTTATCGCATTCGTACACAAAAGGGAGAAGTTTTTGGTGACCGTTGACGTACGAAAAGCCTTCGTAAGGTACGCAAAAACACTGCTTTGTAGGTGGGATGATCTGGGAACTGCGCCAGCTTGCACGTGTAGCGCAGTCCCAGCATCTGCCTTCGCAATGCTAGTAGGGGTTCGTGAGTCTTCACCAGAAGATTATCTATGGACGATGTCCGAAAGGCTTCCTGTGGCGATACGTAGTGCAGCGTGATGCACCGTGTTCAAAATGCGTTTAATCAGGTCTGATGAACCGTCATAGATAAAACGGCCGCAGTCAAGTTTTGAACGAGTCAGGGAACGGTATAGGAGTAAGAGTGTCCTATCAGCACCGTATGATGTACGTCCCACACACCTTAAGATGTTAAGGGATTTTAAACATTAGTCGCGGAGATTTCTTATGTGGTCACGGTATGTTAGGCGTCGGTCAAATCGTATACCGAGAAATTTCGCGGCATTGTCACTGGCGACGCGTTGCCCATACAGCCTGATTTCCATTTCAGGACAGTGACGCCGACGACGACAGAAATGAACTGCAGTTGTCTTCGATGTAGAAAACCGGAAGCCATTGAGCACACTTCACTTCTCCAGACGTGTGACAGCCAGCTGCAGCCGTCGCTCCATCGTGTGAGTGGTCGACGAGCTACACCAAATAGCAGTCATCTACGTACAGAGAACGGCTGATCCCATGTGGAAGCGTGTCCCCTATACCGTTTATCACGGCGAAAAGAATGACACTTAATATGCTGTCCTGAGGCACACCATTGTCCTGCGGATACCTGTCGGAATGATTATAGCCAACACGCACCCGAAAGAATCTGTCTGTCAAAAGGTTTTGTAAAAACTTTCTCATGTGCCCACGGACGCCACAATCGAGTAACTTCATCATAATTCACGTCTCCATGTAGTATCATAAGCTTTTTCTATGTCAAAAAAGATGGCGCCGGAATGGCGTTTGCTAATAAACCCGGCCCGCACTGCGGTATCAAAAGTTAAGATGTGGTCAGTCGTGCTCCTGTTCTCACGGAATCCGCACTGAGCATTCGTAAAAAAGTTTTGACGTTCTGGTGATGATGATTTGGGGTTTTGGGCGCATCGACTACTGTAGGTCATGCAGCGCCCATAGCTATCAATTTATGCAGAGCAGTCAATCAGAAAAGTGCATCAATCAGGTCACGCTATAAAGCCTTGATGATCAGGCCTATTATCATGATGAAAAGATTACTGGGAAATCTATAGCGCGAAGAAACTGGAACACTACCAAACTCGTCGGCGTTCGAAGAATCCCCTAAAAAGTCGCATAGTGTGCGACTCTGGACGTGGTGTCCGAAAAACTGCGCTCTCGTTGCAGTAAGATGGCGGCAAGCGACCAGTACGTGATGCACGGTCAGCGGATCAGAGCACCGACCGCAGCATGGTCTGTAGCCACCCAATAGCAGGTGACGGTGCGTAGCATATGTGTGACCTATGCGTAACCGGCGAAGGGCAACTTCTTCCACCCTATTGTCCCGAAAGCACGACTGCCATAGTCCAATACGGGGTTTCACGGACTGCAGCTTGTTGGCGCTCAGCGAGTTCCAGTGGAACTGCCATCGCTTCTGCATAAACGACGACACTGCGGGGTACATGTCCTGGACCAATGGATTCCACGAGGAAAAGCCGCCAACAGCCAGGAGACTGCTCAAGGAGTCGGAAAGAATCAAATGCAAATTGCTATCGTCCACTTCAATAAAACAGAGAGCTTTGCTGATGGCTATAAGCTCGGAGGTGAAGACCGGCGCGTGTGAAGGCAGTGTGAATGACCGTGTTGTGGATCCATACACAAAAGCGCACCCTACACCTGCGTCCGTCTTTGAACCATCCGTATAAGTCGTCATGTACCCGTCAAAAGATGCTATGTGTTCTAAGGCTGCCCCTTTAAGTTTCGTCATGAGGATGCGTTGCTTTTGCATGTTTGATAGAGAAACATCCACGCTTGGCGATGCTAGCTCCAAAGGAGCAGTCTTCATGGGTATAGGTCTGATGACACGTCGTGGTTGAGGCCGCTCGCGTCTAAAAGTTCTCGCATTCGTACCCAAAAGGGGGAAGTTTGTGGAGACCGCTGACGTAGAAAAAAACCTTCGTAAGCTACGCGAAAACACTGCTTTGTGGGTGGGATGATCTGGGAACTGCGCCAGCTTGCACGTGTAGCGCAGTCCCAGCATCTGCCTTCGCAATGCCAGTGGGGGCTCGTGAGCCTCCACCGGAAGACTATCAATGGGCGATGTCCGAAAAGCCCCTGCGGCGATACGTAGTGCGGCGTGAT